TGATTTTTAGCTGCAGCAGTCATTATTTCTGGCTGGATATTTGTGATTTTTAGCTGCAGCAACGTTTCAATTGATGGTTTCTAGCTGCAATAGAGTGATATTTCAAAACTGTTGCATTCGAGAAACGAAAACAACATTAGTATTTTATAGCTGATGAATAGACCTTGTCTATCAATAAATTATCTAGTGGGCAATTGCGACAAATTAGAAATTTTTTTAACAGAATGGGTTTTTTGACTTGAAAAAGAAAATTTGAGTATCATTAAATACTTTTCAATGCTCAGAGAATACTGTTTAGCTGTCAGGGAACACTTTGAAGCGAGACGGAAACATTAATAATAGTTAGATTGATGGGAAGTCGTCACAATTTTGTGCTGCAAATGATTTATCGTGAAGTTGCAGCTATATATCATCAGTAATAAAACAATAACAACAAATATAATACTTTAGGCGTTTAGATTGATTAAACTTTCAAGTTTTTATTTTAATCATTCTGGGAAAGGCCTCATACTCGCTCGCTTATTCTGTCCTATGGAACCCAACCAACCCCCCAACCTTCAACCTGCTTCCGGATCCACTACCATACAGTTGCTGCGCCTGAACGAACTCACTGTTAATCAACAAATAAAAAGAAACCGCAATGATACTGAAATTAATTTCAGGTTGGTACCCTATTGGGTGTATCGTTGCTGCTGTTCGCCACATNAAAAAGAAACCGCAATGATACTGAAATTAATTTCAGGTTGGTACCCTATTGGGTGTATCGTTGCTGCTGTTCGCCACATCGTTGGGTATCGGGTCGATCTCTCGGTTCTATTCAGCGGAATTGGTGCCGAAAAACATGCTGTTACGAACGGTCACCGTGTTGTCGCTGATCGAATCGTCGACGAAAATCGCTCTCGATTTTGGCTTCTACCCACTCGCCGAGACGTTCGGTTGCTGGGCATTCCTTATGTTCATTCTGCCCTCATCAGTATTCCTGGTGCTCATGTGGCGATTTTGCCCCGAAACCAAAAAGCGCCCCGTGAACGCGATTCTCAACGAAATGGCCACAAAACTGAATGTGGCCGTCACATTCAAAGTATAACCTACAAACTGCAGCAACATACTACAAAGATCATACTAAAAACTTCAAACTCTATCAAGTTCAGTGACTGATCAAAAACTAGCACACACTTTTGTTGTTGTTGTTGTTGTGTTCGTTTGTTTGGCGGCGGCGGCGGCNGTTCATATTATTTGGTGTGCACTGATGGTGGTGCGTGTTCCGATGTGTTTACGAAATGTGAATTTTTGTATTTTGTAGTCTGTAGTTTGGACTCTGGTCACGCTTACGATGCATCAAATTTGATGCTTACAATGGAAATGTTTGTGGTATTTCTGTGAATCCTTCATGTATCTATTTTTATTGTGGATTATTATTATTTATTATTATCTATTATTAATATTAATTGTTATTAATTGTTATTATTAATTAATATCAATTTAATTAATGTTAATTATTATTGCTCATTGAGTTAAGTAACTTATATTACTGGAATAACAATGCTGACGCTTTAATACGTATATATTACTGTTATTATTTATTATCTTTGTTACTGTTATCAGTGTTATTACTATTATTAGTTTTATTATTATTATTATTATTATTATTATTATTATTATTATTATTATTATTATTATTACTACTATTATTGTTATGACTGTTGCATTGCAGTGCTCTACTGTGAAGGTCATTTTGAGATTTGCTGATGTTGCGCTATTACTTTGGTGTTAAAGTTCGAAACATATGAACTATGACCCCAAAATTATCCTGAAATTAAATTCAGGTGAATTCAGAGCAACATAAAATGAAAAGTGTAATCGTGAAAAATTGAAAAATGTTTGTAAAAAAATTCTAGTCACCCTATTGGTCGGATACCGGTTGAATCTGGTCAATTGTTGATGTGGGTGATACATTTTTATTATTGCCTGTAGTTGTT